GGACATTCTTTATTTTTGCAATTACAATCTGAACCATAAAGAAAGTCTGATGATTTGATACCCAAATAACTATATTCAGCTGAATAATAAATAAATATTTTTACTAGCTAGGTAAAAATATAAACTTTTTACAAATTACTATGTAATATTATTTTATATACTTAGGTAGGTAGAAAAGCTTGTAGAACTTTATTATAAAGTTGCAATAATACAGGAAATAATTAAATACTAAGATATCACATTTAACTGTTTAAAATTATGAAAACTTTAAGAACTTGTTGAAATTTTTTATTAAAAAAAATAAAAATTTTGAAAATTTTTATTAAAAAAAGGAAAAATGCAAAAAACTGAATGTCAAACATATTAATCTACTAGGAGTTTCAGCACAAACCATAACTAAAGAATCAGTATTACTTCATTAGACCAAGTACAAAAATATAGAACAGTCACTAAGTGAGTCGCTATTTAAAAATGAAGAGAATATCTAAGATAATCAATGCTCAGGGCGCTCTCAAACCATGTATACAGCTAAGAATACTCAATGAGTGCGTGCCATTATAGAATAAAACCCCTTATACAACACATGATATAATTAAAATTTTGAAATTGGTAATCATTTCATAATTAATTATTAATAACACTATTTAAAAAAAGATAACTAGTATCATGTTGGTTACTACATGAGTTCAATCAAAATTGATAGACCACTCAAAAGATAGAATTGAAACATGTGAGGAAAATTTAGCCCTTTTCTGATACAGCCTATAGAGATTATATAATGTTATTACAGGCTATGAGTGGTTGTTTTATTTGAGATAAACTGGATACAAGTCAGCTAACACCACTTGGGTTGAGGAAGATGTTCAAGAGATGTAGTATGACACAGCAAGTTTGAACCAAAAACTTTTTTAAAAAAAGTTTTTGGTTCAAACTTGCTGTTGTTTTGAAGTTAAAACAAAAAAATTTTTTTTTGTTTTAACTTCAAAACAACAGGTGTCATTTATTTGGGTTATGTTGATAAAGGTGACACTATTACTAGTTAATACTACATGAGAAATTGTTAGAAACTTATTACAGGCCAAATAAATATATAAAGACCTGTAACAGACACTAGCAATTTTAAATTTATCCATAAAATGTCATCCATCAAAATCCATAAAAAAGCTCAATCCCATTTCACTCAAATTTACATAGGTTGTCTTAATTAAGCTGAAATTACAATAATCTGCCACCAGCTGCACTAAAAAGAAGTAGCTCCATCTTATTTTTGCCTGTTGAACTTTAAAAAAAAATCTAGATAACTATACTGATATCAAAAGTCTATAAAACCACAAGACTAAGCTACTTCAAAGTATACTCAAAGAAGAGTATAAGTAAATTTTTGACAAATGACAAACAGATGCAATTTTGTATAGATAAACTGTGGATATTATTTTAATTTTTTTTTAAACATTTAATAAAATAAAAAAAGTTATTTTTTTATCTTAATGAGTGATTCTACAAACTTTTCCAAGTATAATTTTACATTATATATTTTAATATTTAAATATATTTATGCTATAAAAGTAAATTTTTTCATGTTACCAATCGGTGCTTGTTTAATAATTTGAGAAACGTCATTATCAGATAAAGGGGTGCTCCACATAGTGATCTTAGAAAGAGTTGCTTGAAGATTAGACTTATTGTTATAGTAGTCAGCAAACACAAGAAGATATTCATTAAACAAGCAGCTTGAAAAATTTTTTCCTGCACTAACTCCCCCAGTATCTTTCAAGGTATCATTATGATACAAATATAAAGTATCATTATCTACAGACCAGACTAGAGTAAGAGTGTAAGGAGCTGATGAAGGATTAGCCATTGAAACTTTATACTTTCCATACATTGTTACCACAGTAGCAGTAATTTGATTATCGGTTAAATGAATTTGAAACCCATTGCCATGAGTAGCTGTTTGATATCCACCTAAACCAGCAGATAGTATTGGAGATGTCCAATATGTATCTAAACAATATTATATACATAAATATAAATATACATAAAAATAAATATATATATATATACATATATATATATATATATATATATATATATATATATATATATATATATATATATATATATATATATATATATATATATATATATAAATGTATATATATATATATAAATGTATATATATATAAATATATATATATATATATATATATATATATATTTATATATATATATACATTTATATATATATATATACATTTATATATATATATATATATATATATATATATATATATATATATATATATATATATATATATATATATATATATATATATATATATATATATATGTATATATATACACATACATATATTTACATATACATATATGTATATATATATATATACATATATGTATATGTAACACATACATATATATACATATACATACATATATATAAAAATATATATATATACATTTACATTTTATGCTTTAGATTAACAGCTTTCATGTAAAATAGCTAAAAGTTTAATTTACATTTTAAATAGGCAAATCTTTGATAAATTTGTTGCATGTGTATGTAAGTTAAAAATACAATTGCCCATACATATATATATATATATATATATATATATATATTATATATATATATATATATATATATATATATATATATATATATATTTATATATATATATATATATATATATATATATATATATATATATATATATATATATATATATATATATATATATATATATATATATATATATATGTATATATATATATATATATATATATATATTTTTAATTTTAAATTCTTCTAATATAAAAGGTTTCACTTAAAACCTTGTCAACCCAACATGATGAAATAAGAATTATGTAATGACGTAATTCATTTTGTAAACAAAAACTTAACAAAAAAAGCGCCAGAACTTAAGTAAATGCATGTAGCTTCAGCTTCTGTTTTTAAAGTGATTTCCTGTTTAAACTCTTCTACAGCTTGTGGTTCAGACAACATACCTGTTATAGTCTTGTAGAAGTGTTCTCTGGAGTTGTCACCTATACTTTCAAAACTATTAAACAAGCCCTTATCAGAGTCTTGTTTTCCAGTCTGCTGGAAAGTGGCATCTGTTATCCCTATTTTCAAAAATTCTTGAGACCAATCTGACACATCTAATTATTGGGTGGACATGGAAAAATCCAGTCAACTTTAATTTGAGATTTCTTTAAAACCACAAATGCTTTTTATGTCTTTTATTTTTTTAATTAAACATTACTTCCTTATCTTAAACTGTGTTGATAAACTTTTGTTTACAAATCAATGATTAGCAAAATGGTTCGGAAAAAAGTTGATGTGCATAAATAATTTGTGAATTTTTTTTTGCAAAAATCCATCGACTTCATATCACCATAAATCCATAAAGATAAAGTTGATTTATCTTTATGGATTTATGGAAAGTTTTGAAATATGGATTAATGTCACCAATAAGATGAAAAAAGAAAAAAATCTGCAAAATGATGGCATCAACCCGCTATAAAATTTGATCTCTTGCCAAACAACCTATCAAGCCCTTTAAAATTAAGTTGAATCTCTAATTGATGTAAACACATTTAATAATAAAAAAAAAATTGAATAAAAAAGCATTTATGGTTTTAGAGAAATCTCAATTTAAAGTTGACTGGATTTTTCGTGTCCACCCGATACTGTCCCATTGTTCTCCTGACTGTCATAAGCAAGGTTTTTGAGTCTTTAATTAACAAACACTTAATCTCTCATCTTGAATCTATAATTTTTCTTGAATCAATATAAATTTCAATCTTCTTGTTCTCTGCTGATTTTTTAAAGGTAATCTGCTGATGTTTTAAAGGTAATAAACAATAGATTTTATTGTGCTTTAGATAGATGTGGAGAGGTTAAGGTTATCACTCTTTACATTTCTAAAGCCTTTGATAAAATTAGGCAAGCTGGTCTTCTCCATAAGTTTTTCTTACAGTGTATCAGGTAACATCTTTAAGATTATTGAATCTTTCCTTACCAATTGTGCATAAAAGTTGTCATCAATGGGCAGCACTCTTCACCATTTTCTATAATTTCAGGGGTTCCTTAAGGTTCTATACTTAGCCCTAAAACTTTTGAAATTTACGTTACTAATCTCCAAGTAATTCTCACAGCCAAGGTGTCATTGTTCACTGATGATACTACCATTTATTCTGTCTTGATAAGAAGCCAACACTTTTGGATGTTTTGGAGGGGGCACTTGACCTTAAAAAGAGTCTCACTTCTCCTACAACATAAAGCTCTCAGATGAGTCATCTACCCTTCGTCTTCTAGGATTAACTCTTTTCTGATCTTTCTTGAAAACCATATATCAAATCATTACAAAATTAGCATCTGCTAAAGTTGCATTTTTTTATCATTCTTGCAATTTTTTACTTCGGATTCTTTATCTCTATAAATCTCTAATCCATCCTTGAATGGAATATTGTTTACATATTTGGAGCAGATATTCAAATGGTCCTCTTTCTGTTTTAGACAAGGTGCAAAAATGCATTGCAAACATACTTAGACCTGTTTCTGCAGCCAACTTTCAACCATTGCCACATCATCATAATGTTGATTTTGTTTCTCTTTTCTATAAATACTATAAACTGTCTCTTGTGCCATCTGTTAAAAATCATTCTCGTGTTACTTGTCACTTAAAACTCATCCTTATAAAGTAACTATTCCTTATTAAGTGCTCCATAAAGTTCTTATGCGTCTAGTTTTTTTTCCAAGAACATTATTTCTTTGGAATTCACTCCCTTCATCTTTATTGATATTATTTCCAATCTTTTTAGATGTCTGTTAAACGTTGTCTTTCTTTATAAACCTATTTTAAAAATATTTTTAATAAAAAACCCATTATGAACTTGAAAATAAATCTTGATCTTTCAAATTGTGTGATGTTAGGTATAATGAAGGAGATATTTTGATATGAAATGATGGACAATCCAGAATACACTAGACCACCTAAGCTGTTGTTTTTCTATGTCAAAAAAAGTCAATTTGAGAGTAGTAGAAACTTTTTTGAAAAAGATATTGTTTAAAGCATGAGATCAAACAGAACTGACTTTCAATATAAATTAATTTCACATTAAAAAAAAAAAACAATTATATTTTAATCAAGTAATGATAATAGTAATCAAGAATCATTAAAAAAAATTAAAATTAAAATTTAATAAAATGTCATTTAAGCAATTTAAAAATCAGAAAAAAATCTTGCACATTCATGAAAAAAATCATTGAACTACAAATGAGTCTCAAAAGCTACTAGAATCTGAAAAGAAAAAAATTAATGCTAAAGGATCAGGAAAGAAAAAAAATTTTAAACAGTAAATTAGTGGTAAAAATCAAGGCTTGTCTAACAGAGAAAGTGCTTAAAAGTTTCAAATTTTTTGGTAAAAAAAGTAGATACAATTATAAGTCTTTCTGAGCAATTAAATACTCAAACCGTTCTGAAAAACAAAAGCCAAAACATGAGCACAAAAACTATACACCCAAGTTTTGACAAAATTGAATGACTGCATGGATGGACAACAAGACTTATATAAAATGTGACTTTATTCAACTTTCTGGTGACAAGTTATACTTCATTTGTTTGTAAGCAACTGGTATAAATACGGACTTGTGGACAAATATAGAAAAAAATTATTCTTATGGCAAGTAATTTGTAGTTGAGGAAAAAAGAGTAGAGCTTTTGTAACATCATCAACTTTGACATTAGTATTCAAATTGTATTCAAGAGTGGCTTCAAAAGCAACTTTTGCCACTCATTTAATCGCATTTTAGACCTTGTTTGTTTTGGTCTGACTTAGTTGAAGGCATGGTCAACCATAAACAAGAAAATGAGAGTAACAGTGGCGCAGAAATAATATGGGCACTACCACCAGTAGGGTGGTCCTTACAACTTTTATTTTAAATATCTGCTCTCACCCTCTAAATGCGTTAAATATAATAAAATAATACTAGAATTGAAAATTTAAAAAATAAAATATTTTAAGGGGTGCCCCAAGGCCTTTGAACACTTAACTGATCCTTATAATTATCAAAAAAAGTAATAAGAAAAAAAAATTATAAAAATTTTTTTTCAGTAAAAATACACATTTTCAGTTTTAAGTTTAAAAACATCATTTTCTAGGCAGTGAAATCTAAGATAATCTAAGATAAAATGATGACTATTTTTGAAGTTATATAATTTCACTTTTTTTGAGACACAACATGATATTCTTTTGAAGAACTTTTTTTTTTTTATAATTATAGGAACTAGTAAGGTGTTTAAGGGCCTTAGGGCACCCCCTTGAAAATAAATTTTTTTTAAATGTTTTGATTCTACTATTATTTTATTACATAGGACATTACATAGATATTACATAGGGTGAGAGCAGACATTATGAAGAAAAAACTAAAACCATTATGCAGAAAAAACTAAGAAAAACTATATTGCACATTAAAAACTTTTTATTGAATAGTTTAGCACTATAGAGATGATTTCTGAACAATACAAAATATCATCCTGAAAAATTTTATTAAATTAAAACAGCGATTTTAACTTAGAAAAAGTGTCCAAAGGCTTTTCACACAAAACTTACGGCTATGTTTCCAACATTGTATTAAAGAATCAGGACTCAATTTTTTTGATATATAAAAAATATAAATTGGAAGAAAACTGGACTCCATAGTCATGGAAAAATAAATAAAAACAAAATTTAATATCTGCTATTAAACTTAAACTTCATTTTTAAATTAGATATTTCCATTTTAAAAATATTCTTGCAAAATACGGTCGGGATTTTATACACAAACACAAATATTTTATTTAAGATATTCTCTAACTTTAGCGTTCTAACTTAGAGGTAGAATATATATAATAGAATATTTTTAAAATAAAAAGCTTAATTATTTTGGATTGCAAAGTATAATTTTAAAACGACAAATAAAAACTTTTTAAATAATTTTAGTGATGTTGTAGTTTAATAAATACAAGGTTCGAAAATGATCTATTTTATTTTATTAAAGTCACCTTAACAATATTATGCAACAATTAATTCAAAGTTTATTATAATTTTTCATTAATTTTATATAATATGTACAACTTGTACTAAACTATTTTTCAAACTTATTAGGAATATCATCATATATCTCACTGTAAAAATAATTAAATACAAAATTCATCTGAGGCTTTGTTTTTTTTGCAACAATATGTTTATGATGACCATCTTTTCTAAAATAATACAGTCTTTCAATACTTTGTGAATGGGAACGAATAATTGTGAATATTTTTTTCCAGAAAATAACTTTTATATTATCTCCTTATCAGTAAAATGTTTAGTTTTTGCTGTTTCATCTGTCTTGATCAAAGATATTTATTAAGTCATATATGAACATCATTGTGAATATATGAACAACATTTTGAACCATATAGAAGCCATCCCAGAAAACACATTTGTAACCATATAGAAGCCATCCCAGAAAACGCATACATTTTTTCATCTTGTATGTATATGCATAAGTACTTTATTTTAGACAACTTGGTCACAGCCGTTTGCAAGTTTTTTTATACGTATGTTTGAAAAACAAAAAAAGTAAGTATGTTTGAAAAACAAAAAAAGTAAATATGTTTGAAAAACAAAAAAAGCAAAACTAACAAAATAAGAAATTAAAATAATATTATTCTATTTAAATAAATAGAAAAAATAAAAACAACTAAAAATTTAAATATGTGTTTTTTTTTAATTTAGTTTCTTTAGAGTGGTAGTTATTTTCAGCAAAAAAATTGGATAAAGCAAAGCTAAAAAAAAAGTTTAAAGTCGACATTAAAAAGAATGATTTTTTTATATATATATATTATTTTGTTTTTCAAAGAGGAAAGCAAAAATATAAATTGCTATCAAATATATATTGTCCTTTTATAAAAATGTCTATGTAATGCATGCATATGTTTTTACGTTTAACTTTTTTATTATATAATTATATTTATTTGCATGTTTAGCTTTTTGGATAAAGCATTTACTTCATACACTGAATGTCTGTTATTCGAATTCCAAAATTTTTTTGGTTTTTTATCCGCCACATCCTTTTTGGACTACTATGTTATTGGTGAAACATAAATAAACAATTATTAACAACTACTATTTATAATTGCATAATAATTAATTATTATTATTAATAACTGTTCACTAATATAGTAGATCAAAAGGAAGAGGGCAGGTATAACTAAACGTACAGAGCCAAGTATTAAAAAGCACTAAAAGATTAGGGATAAAAAACTTATAGGATTAGAAATGTATTATGAAACAATTAAAGCTATGTGAAAAATATGTAGACGGAATTAAAGCTAATTAAAGCTTCAAACTCTGCATATATGTGTGTGCACCTTACTTAGAAAATACACTGAAAGACTTTAATGGTATAAGAAATCTGAATGTGAAGAGATGTGTATCAATCATAAACATGTAACAGAGAGATTTTTTATATACGAAAAAGAAAAGATAAATGATTACAAATCAAATATATGACTAGCAGTATTTAAAAGAAAAACAATTAAAAAACCACCAACATTGTGCGTATAAAATAGATGCTTTATCCAAATAAGCTAAACTCGCTTATACTTACATGCAAATAAATATAACTAATTAATAAAAAAGTTATACATAAAAATATATGTATGCATTACATAGACATTTTCATATAAAGACGCTATATACTATTCAAATAGAATAAACATTATTTTTATTTCCTAATTTGTTAGTTTTACTTTCTTTGTTTTTGAAACTTAGTTTTTTCTACAATGTTTAATATAAAAAAACTTGCAAATGGCCATGACCAAATTGTCTAAAATAAAATACTTATGCGTGGACATTCAAGATGATAAAATGCATGAGTTTCCGGGGAAAGCAAACATCATTTTGAATTTCTGGAATTTTATTCATTAGGTTTAGAGTTTTAACAACTTATGATTTGGTTTATTGTAATGAAATAAATGGTTGACACAGCTTTATGCAACTTAATGCTCTTTTTATAGCGAAACCATGTCCCTTTGGTCTGAAAAAACCTTCTATAATGTATGTAAATATTTATTATAAAATTATACAATGTACAAACTAATTGAAGTTTATATTATTAATTAGATAAATCAAAATTGAACAAGTAGTTGTATTGTATAGGGGGTTTGTTTTTTCAAAATAACTACTACCAATTATGTACAAATCAACACTCAACATTGCACAAAACTATTTATAACTTAAGATTAATTAAACTGAACTTTAAAACTAATTTAAAATATATTTAACTAATTTACTAAATTGATCATAATTAAAAATATATATAAAACATTTTTATATTAAAGGTTGAACCAAACTTTACACAACTTTTGTAAGTTTATTAACTTTTATAACTGAACATAAAAACAGCAGCAATCTGATTTGTAGCAGTTTGTAATGCGGGTTCATAATAAAGGGTAAATAAAGTATATAAAATCTATAAAACATAATCATATAAATATAAACAACAATACTTACTTTCAGTTCCATAGAATTTATACTTTATGATAATCTCAGTTGTTAATAATAATCTAAAATACTTTGCTTTAATCACATCATCAAATGGAACATACTGAGTTTCACCACCATGTAAAGATATCTAAAATTAATATTTAAAACGACTGTAAAAGATTATTTTGTCACTGCTTGATTAAAATTGTCACTTTTCTTTCTTATTTTGACTTTTTGAATGCCAAAATAGATTTTGATGAAACTTGAAGAACTTTAATCAAATATTTTTTCACTGATAAATTTCACTCAAACAAAACAAAATGTATTACAAAATATATTTTATGAGAGTTTTTTTGTTCATCCTATTTTAACGACTAGTAGACATAAAAGATCTGATTCCCTGAAGAAATATATTTCATTTACTAACATTACAAAGCAATATCCTTTGCAAAAATATTTTTCTATTATAAAATTATTTGAAACTGAAACTCTCAACTAATTTTATAACCATCAGTGCAAAATTTAATTTTAAATTTTCCTTGTTACATAAACAAATGTTTTGCTGACAATATGTATATATATATATATATATATATTATATATATATATATATATATATATATATATATATATATATATATATATATATATATATATATATATATATATATATATATATATATACATGTATATATATATATATATATATATATATTTATATATATATATATATATATATATATATATATATATATATATATATATATATATATATATATATATATATATATATATATATATTCACCTCCTCAAGGTAGAGAAGGCCACTATAAATAAGGAGGCTACTTAATAGTGGTTATAACCCTCTCTTAACTCTATAATTCTGAAACATTAACCTTGACAAACAAGGCCACTGCGCTGAGAAACAAGTTGAGCGTGGCACTACCAGGAATATGGTTGGGATCGAACTTGGAACCTCTTGCTTATGAAGCAAGTGTTTTACCACAACACCACTACCGCATATATCTGAAAATATTTTGTAACACCAACCATTTGAGAGTCACATAAAGTCATAGTTCTGTAACAAATGTAGATAAAGCCATTATCACTACTCATCATCATCACTACTCATAAAAATCCAGGTTATAGATGAAAAGACTACATTTATAATAGAGTAGAGAGGTCGTACAGAAGTTATATGGGAAACTAAGTAAAAAAAAAGTTGTATCTTATTTAATTTTTCTTTGTTGTTAACTTTATGCTTTATTAACAAAGCTTAAACATAAGCTTTTTAGTATATCTAGAAGAAAGATTTCTGGTTACACAACAGCACAAATCTCATTTTTTTCTCAAAACTTACTAAAACTTTCTGGTCATGTAACATTCTGTTTACAAAACATACTGTTCACAAAACATTCTGTTCATGAAACTTTCAGTTTACAAAAATTTCTGTTGGGGCTAGGTGCTCTTCTGCAACAAAACTGGTACAATGGATAAAAAGAAATATATCCACATTTCTTTTTATCAATTGCATCAGTGTTACAACCATCATAAAAGAGTAAAGTTTGAATTGTAAACTTTGATGAAGTGGTGAAGTATCAGGCACCATTATGATGACATAGTTTGGGACACACAGTGTATCCTGTTAGCTTTGAAAATGCATCAAATCGACTTTGAAAAATGTTTGTAGAACTTGCATTGACTACATTTGCTGGTAGCCCATTCCAGTTGTTAACAACTCGATTAGTAAAATATTTATCTTGTTCTTGGCAAGATTTCACAATTTGTTGTGATAGTCGCTGATTATGTCTAGGCAAATTATAATCTGATAGCGATTGGGCATATACTTGAGGAACTACAAAGTCTATTTTTTCTATTTCGTTAGTGATTTTATACTAAAGAAGGAGTATGACCAGTCTTTCCTCATAGCTTTTGTGTTTTATCTCGCTTATCACCTTTGTTACTCGCTGTTGAATGCATTCAAGTGCTTTTATGTCACTTTTTAGGTTAGGAGACCAGGCTTGGATGGCATACTCAAGATGAGGTCTAATGTATGTTGTGAAGAGTATCCTCCATAACATAAGCCCTCTTGTGCGAAAAGATTTTTTAAGTTTGTTAAGTACTTGGTTTGCTCTAGCTGCTGCAGCTTCTACTTGATGCTTAACTTTGAGGTCGTTTGATGTTAGAACACCTAAGTCACATTCAATAATTGTTGTTCCAAGTTCTATTTGATTACTATATATGTCAAGCATTGAGTAAAGGCGTACTGATTTATTTGAGTGACCAACATGCATGACTTTACATTTTTATAGATTGAAATACATGAGCCACTTTTTAGACTATTCGACTGCATAGTCTATGTATTGTTGTAGTTGTTATTGCATCATCTTTTGTTTTGATTACCCCAAAATCTTACAATCATCTTTGCAGATCTTTATATAATGCACCATGTTGTCTGGAAGGTCGTTTATATAAATCAGAAACAAAAGTGGACCTTACACTGAACCTTATGAAACACCACTAGTAACATCTACCCATTCAGACTTGCTATTGCTGATGACCACTCTCTGTTTTCGATTTTTTAGCCAGTCAGTTATCCAATCCAGGAGTGTTCCATGTATGCCGTATGCATCAAGTTTTAAAAGAAGACGTTGGTGAGGTACTTTATCAAAAGCTTTAGCAAAGTCTGTGTAAATCACATCTATGGCATGATTATGAAATAGTGCATATGTTAAAATGTCCTAGGCCTCTAGTAGGTTGGTTGTACAGCCGCACCTTGGAAGAAATCCATTTTGAGATTTTGTAAAAAACCCTTTTTCAAGGCAATGTTTCAGGATTCCTTTGTGGATAAAACGTTCTATTATTTTACAGGGTACCAATGTGAGAGAAACTAGTCTGTAAGCATTTTCTACGGCTTAAATTTTTTTAAAATAAGAGTAATGTTTGATAACTTCTAGAAGTTAGAGACTTTGCCTTCAACCAGGGATTTTTTTGAAAATAATAGCTAGTGGCTTTAGCTATTGCAGTAGCACAGTGTCGAAGAACATGCAGGTGTATGTTATCGCAGCCTTTTGACTTTGTTTCAATGAGCTCTTCTAGCTTTTTCTGAACAGAAATAGTTGTTAGTTCTGCTTCATCCAGGACACATTTTTTTTCTATTCGGCTCTGAAATGTAGGCATCTAATGTAACGGTTCAACAACAAATACTGAATGAAAATATATGTTAAGTAAATGAGAAATTTTATGACTATCAGTTGGAAGATTTCCATCGTTGTCTTCTAGTGACTTTACAATTTCATTCACTATTTGCTTCTGCTTGACTAGGTTATGAAGCCGTTTTGGATCAATTTTAAAAGAATTTGCAATTTCATTTTCATACTTAGCAACTGCTGATCCTACAATCTTAACTAACTCTTTGCAAGCTGCCTTCTCGAATCTCAATCTACCAGCTGCAAGATATTTTTGCCAAAGGGTTCTTTTCTTTTTAACTGCTTTTCCAACTTCTGGCATATCCCATAGTTGTTTTTGTTGCTTGAACCATGTTTTAGTTGAAGGTATGTAAAGGGTGACTGCCTTGTTAATTTTTTCAATGAACATCTGATAATTGTCATTGATGTGATTAGGATTGAGATTGCTTCATAATAAGCCTTGCTCCAGATAAACCTTTTTTGTTCTTTTTTAACACAAACGTTGTTTGTAGCAAATAAGTCAATAGGTAGGCAGTGGGCTTCCCCAGCTAGTGTGTAACCAAGTGAGTTGCCTTCATGTAGATTGTCTATGCAGTCAGGTTTATTAGTGATTAACAAATCTAGTGTGCTTGATGGTCTTTCTTTTCTATTTCTGCAGTGAGTGTGGAAAGTGACCATTTGCATAAGAAAGTTTTCGTTTAGACATTGATGGATATATATATATATATATATATATATATATATATATATATATATATATATATATATATATATATATATATATATATATATATATATATATATATATATATATATATATATATATGTACATATATATATATATATATATTAATACATATATATATATATATATACATATATACATATATATATACATATATATATATATATATATATATATATATATATATATATATATACATATATATACATATATATATATAAATATATATACATATATATATATATATATACATATATGTATATATATATATATATATATATATATATGTATATATATATATATACTTATATATATATATGTATATATATATATATAATTTATGGTCTTTCTTTTTTATTTCTGCGGTGAGTGCGAAAAGTGACTATTTGCATAAGAAAGTTTTCCATTAGTCATTGCTGGATATATATATATATATCCAGCATAATATATATATATATATATATATATATATATATATATATATATATATATATATATATATATATATATATATATATATATATATATATATATATATATATATATATATATATATATATATATATATATATATATATATATATATATATATATATATATATATATATATATATATATATATATATATATATATATATATATATATATATATATATATATATATATTATGGTGGTTCAGATTTAGGTAAAAAAATTTTTGGACAAGAGTGGAAGCTTATAAGGTAAGCAAACCCTTGTTTTATATATGAGTTTGTTTTTTCAACTTAAAAAAAAGTTTAAGGGTGACACACAGCCCCAAAGTACTTTTTTTTAAACCCTTTTTTGACATTTTTTGACCCCATGTGCGCCACCTATAAACAATATTGAATTTAATTTTTTTTTCTTCATAAACTCTTATAATTACTAATATAAAAATAAAATTAAGCACTCTATCTGATTTTTTTTTCCTCAATGCTAGAAAATTCTAGCTTTATTGCCCTTGTATTTGGGCTGGGGGGCACAAGTTTTTGGGTTTTGTAGTTCCCAGGCTCCACTCACTCTAATTTTTTAAAGAGTATCCTAATTTGATACAAGTATAAGCATACCCAAGTTTGAAGTTTGCTCATTGTCTACAAGTTTTCTATCTCAATCACCAAAAAAAGTTGCAGCAATCCATGAATTAGGGAAAATCTTTGTTTTTATCTATTTTTTGACATTTCTATAAATTTTCCAGCGATGACAAAAAAAATACAGTTAAAGAGCTTAATTTTATTTTTATATTAGTCATTGTAAGAGCTTATATAGAAAAAAATTGAATTCAATAACAAAAATTAATTTCTGTACTGGTGGACGGATTTAAGTGAAATTTTGTATGCATGTTACTATGTCAAAATGGCATACAAATTGTGTATGCATGTTACTTTGTCAAAATGGCATACAAGCTATTTAAAACGGTCAAATTCAAATTGTGCCCATTCCCATGGGAGTTAATTTTTATTTTCTGCATAGGTAGACGGATTTCAAAAAAATTTTGTAGGCATGTTACTAATATGTCAAAATGGCACACAAGCTATTTAAAACTATCAATTTCAAATTGTACCTGTTCCCATGTGAGTCATTTTTGATTTCTACATGGGTAGACAGATTTTGTAGGCATGTTATTATTATGTCAAGAAGGTATATAGGCGACTTATCAAATAGTCAAATTGTCAAAACCAAATGGTGGAAATTCCCATGGTAATCACGAAATATTAAAAACTAGCTGTATCTTGTGCGCAGCACGGGATACAGCTAGTATGTAATATAGTATAATAATGTAATTAGCTAGTATAATAATGTAATTACAAAAATATAATAAAATCAATTAAAAAGTTTAACATGTTGTGCTAAAGAAATAGATAATAACAAATGAATAGGTCAAAAAGATACGTAGTCTGTATAGAACACAGAAAAGGTCGTTTGAACATCGTCAACCTGTTTATTCATATCAGGTTTTAACCATTCTATGTACTTTCTTTATATTTTAACTCAAATTTATTAGATGCTAAATCTAAAACAGAGAAACATTTACCATTTAATTGAATGAAACAATTTTCGTTAGCATGGAAATGCTTATAGATGTGAGACTTTTCTCCCTTTTCTAATTTTCAGATAATTGATACTTGAGATGGCAAATAGTTTTGCCTATATAGCGGGAGTTACATCATGCACATACTGTTTTAGATTCAGCATCTAATAAATTTATTACTATTTCCTATTTCTTTAGTATGTTATTTCCTATTTCTTTAGTATGACATGTTTAACTTTTTAATTGACTTTATTATATTTTTGTAATTATATTATTATTAGTTTCTACACAAATAATAACATTTTGTATTGATTTTTTTAACACCATTATAAGTATGTTAACAAATTTTAATTATTTAATTTTAACTTAACATCACTAGTGTTGAACGAAACATGCATTGTTTTTAACTAAAAAAATGGTTTTAACAATTAAAAAAATTTGTCTTGTTTATGAAAATTTTGGATATGTACATACCATTTTATTTGTTTCATATGCATTATAAACACAATAACAATAACAAGAGTTAATTAAAACGTAATATAAAATTTAATACATAAATTTAAGAAAATATTCTTTAAAAACAAAATATTACCTTGGTTATTGTTATATAAGAAGAGTTAATTTTAGGTATATTAAAGTATTTGGCTTGCATTAATAAGTCTACATCAATTGGAGATTCACTCCACAAATGTATTCCAGTCATATAATAATCTTGATCAAAAGAAACATCAACAGAATAATTATAAAATTTATCTAAAGTAATATTTTCTACAGAACTTTTATTGACATTTTGTTCCTTCAAGGAACTTTCATTGACATTTTGTTCTTTCAATGAGCGCACATCCCCAACAACTAAATTGATAAAAATATAAGTTAAATATTGTTTTATAAAAAAATGTACTAAATTTTGGTATCTAAAACAGACAAAAAACATGTCTGTCTGAAATTTAATTCAAAGCTATATTCATCTATATAATAAGTTGTTGCTATTAGAGCAAATTTAGGGTACTTTATTAAGTTAAAAATGCAAATATACAAACAACAAGTATTTTTAATTATGCAAACACACACCCAATTACTTGTTCACCATACCTTTTATAAATAAAGAACACATTATGATAAAATAATTTTTGAAAATTATTATAAACTTTTTAAGTCTCAAAAGAAACATATTTTTATAAAAATTTAAAAATAATATTTGCTTGTAACAAAAAATGTATTTTAATGAAAAAAATACTAATCCTAATAAACTCTAATATATATATATATATATATATATATATATATATATATATATATATATATATATATATATATATATATATATATATATATATATATATATATATATATATATATATATATATATATATATATATATATATATATATATATATATATATATATATATAAATATATATATATATATATATATATATATATATATATATATATATATATATATATGTATATATATGTATATATTAAATAAAATATTAAATAAAATCAATTAAATAAAAGTTAAAACAAGTTTTTCAACTTCTTATTCATAGTTTGAAATAATCTAAAAATGCTAAATCATAGTCATTGAAATAATCCAAAAATTCTGAATCACAGTCATTGAAATAATTCAATCCAATATTTTTAAATAATTTTTGAAAAAAAGATTTTTTTAACTTTATTTTTTTTGTTTATGGATTACATTTTTTTTGCTTATGGATTACATTTTTTTACCAATCTTGAATCTCTCTTAAAACACTCACTTCACACTCACTCACTCAAAACCAAAATGGATTTTCTTCCTGATTTGAGTTTAATTTTTTTACAATAGAGTAAAACTTTTCAGTCTTAAATTAGAACTGCCACGTTTGGAATCTTTAATCTTTACTAATTTGCAACCGGAATCTGGAATCTTTTAGACGGTCAATATTAAATTACAAACCTTGTGTTACCAAAACTCTGAGATTCAAGAAACCTTGAATCAACATATAAACCTATTATATAAATAACATATATAAAGTTTATATGTTATTTATATAAATATAATTGCTGTTTATTTAAAACCCAAATCTTTTTATTTCAATTTTTGATTTTATATCATCTGTTATAAATACCTTTTTATTGATTTAAGTTAATTTGAAAAATGTCTTATAAGATTCTTTTACCACTGAAAAAAAAAGGACATGTGGAGAAAGAAATTCATATGATTTCAAAAATCAAATAATAAATAGAGCAGTATCACAAGAAGAACAAACATAAAATAATAAATAATAAAATGAATATAACAATATATATATATATATATATATATATATATATATATATATATATATATATATATATATATATATATATATATATATATATATATATATATATATATAATAAATGAATAAAATAAACATCAGAATAAATAAAAATTGTTTTCTAATATATTTACCTTGGAGCATCCATCAAAAGAAAAAAAATCATGTAAAAGAAATCATGAAAACAGTAACAAGTTTATGTCAAACAAAATTAAATTTTTCAATTATATTAAATTTTCTTTTTCTAGAGTTTAAGAGTTTTTTTTGTAAATTAAATCAGTTATGGTTAGTATATTCCATAACTAAAGTCAATATTAAATTTTTGAGAAAAGTCAATTTCAAATTTTTGATAAAAGTTCAAACTTTTATCAAAAAGTTTAATACTTTTTAATCTATTTAGAAAAAAAATTGCTCTTTAAAGGAACAACTTATGTTTAAGAACCAATGCTTTTATTGTAAGGTATGGTAAATCTTACACAAAATATGTTGTATACCTAAGTTTCTTATTTATAATTGTTTTGCAACATAAATAAAAAATAAATATTTAAATTTTTTTGTTTATTTACTGTTTTTATAGTTAAGTAATATGATTACATATGTACTAAGTAGTTACTTGCAAAAACAGACAGATCATATTGTATTACATATGATATGTACTAAGTTGTTACTTGCAAAAACATACAGTTCATGTTGTATTACACAATATGAAATTAAACTCATTTTTCTCAAAAAACAAACAAATTCAGTTTTTGGTTCAAGTTCAAGCTTTGTGAGAACTTACGGAATAATTGAAAAAAAGTATCAACAAACATGGTAAAAAAGTTGATAACTTTGTAATTTCTTTTATAGCTTCTATTTAAAAATACGATCTATAATTTATTATTTGCACAGTTTTTATAAAGAAAAAGAATAGGTTGATGCTTACGTAAAATTAAGTTTCCTATTCACAAAAAAACACTAAATATTTCATAATATAAGAAATAATATTATTTCAAAACTATATAAAATAAAAAAACTAAAATAAAAAAAGAACAAACCATTATTTTGGTAATAAGTCCACAACACAAAGTTTTTTTTCAGTAGTTTTAGAACATTTACTTCAATTTGGCTAATTGGCTCCACCATTAAACACAAATTATTTATCACATCATTATTCTGCGATTTTAAAATTTTTATTATAGGTGTCAAATCAAAACCATAATAATCAAGTAAACAATCAAAAGTGATTAATTTATTGTAAGATGAAAAAAAACCATCATCATAATACTTTGAACAACTTTGTGCAGTCATCGTTTCATCCAAAATAATTGAAAATGCATAAATCTTTGCAGAATAATTTGTGCCTAAACTTAATGCATTCTTCATACCAGAAATATGGAGATGTGATTGGATGGATTTTGCTGTTGATGGTAATAAAAATTTATTAAAAACCAAAAATGTATAGTTTACATTGGAACCAAAATAGATTAGATTACTTGACTCATTTGATAAATTATTCTCAGAAAACAAATCTGTCACATAATATGGTTCCCACTTTAAATTTGATGAAAATGGAACTTAAATTTAAAAAAATATATATATAAATAATTAAATTTATCTTTTATTAAAATTTAATAATAAATACCATTATATAGGGTAATTTTGACCAGATTGAGGTAACCACAATCTGGTTAATTTTATTCTGTGTTTTTACTTTTTTACTATACTCACCCTCCAAGGTCATCCAGAACATAAACCTTGACAAACAAGGCGGCTTTGGGATGAAACAAATTAAGCTAAATACTTCCAAGATATGATGGGCTTGAACCTCATGTTACATGTTGGCTTGATTCATGATATTTTTATAGAATTAATAATTCATTTTTTTTATTTCAAGTTTGAGTTCTAGTTTTTATTCTTAAATAATTAGACACAAAAATTATGTTTTGAGAAAACCTAGTCCTGATCAGAAATATTTTTGTAAATAAACATTTGAAAACAGACGTTCATACTTTTAGCCTTAGGCCCTAAATTGATTATATTTTTGTTGGTTATTTATTTAATGATGCCATAGTGTATGTTGTTGATTATATACTGCATTTTATTTAATTAAACTTTATATGACCTTCAATATATTATATGAAAAGTTTGTATATTGACTTTTTAAAACATGTTTAAAGTTTTAAAAATGTTACAAAAACTATTCCTAACTTGTGTAAGACTTCAATAACTTGATTAAATAGAAAAAAAAAAGATTTGAACCAAATTTTTTAGTAGGATAAATGTCTCCAAGTGGTTTCAACAAACTTTACAGTATTTAATTATAACTAAAAGTTTTTAGTTTTAATTATTACTTTATAGTTTTTAATTATAAATATAACAAGTATAGCAACAAAATTGTTTAAAACTTTTATTTTAAAAAAAAAACATTGTATAAAAAAAAAAAAAATTGTTTAAAATGAATTTTTTTCTTTTTAAATACTTATAAAATATAAAAATTTGTTTTCAACTGTTTAATTAATTATGTTTTTTGGTTATGTAAAGTAAAACAAACATACCAGCAACATCAAGTTGAATTGTGAACCCACTGACACACAAGTGTGGCTGAGTAAAACAATCAGCACCAAAATGATCACTCATTAGTCTAGTTGAAAAATATATTTTTTCTAAATTTCCAGAATTTCCAAACAATTTCTGGCTACCTCTGGTGTTTGTATAAATATAGTAATTTTTATTTGTATACTCAAAAAAATCAGTTTGTAACCAAAGATAGTCGGCTAAAAATACAAATCTTAAATTATAAACGCTATAAATTAAGTTTTATTTTTTAAACATAAGGTTTTTAAAAAATAAAAAAAAATTTTATCAATTTTTTTTTTTTAAATCTTTTTTCAAAAGATTATTTTTTTATTTTTTTTATTTTAAAGAAAATTAAAAGTTGCAAACACTAACAGAACTCCATAGAATAAGAAATTGTTCCAGTCACTGTAACCAATTCAACACTTAACAAACAAGAAAAACAAAAAAATTTTAACTTTAAAATACGTGAATGTTACTGTCTAAAATCACCAAATCTAAAGAATGAAAAAATACTATCTGTTATTGTCAAGTTAACTTGAGATAAAGTCAAATTGAGATTGATTATTGAAAAGACTGAATAATGTAAATTTGAACAATAAGAATTAAAATACCAAAAAAGATCAAAAAAACAAAAAGCTTAAGAACAAAACCAAAACCAAGAAACTTTAAATTTGATTTTATATATTACTATTCATATAATTTATACAAAACCACCAAAAAAAAAAAGAAATTAAACTTGTCGTGAATTTTTAAGCCATCAAAAAGAAGTTAAAAGATCAATTTGTTCTAAGAAAGAAAAAATTACTTAACTTTTTGTTTTTAATCAACAAAATAAAAAATTGTAATATAAAAGTAAAGTGTGAATGAAAACAGTGTTTTGCTTGTCTTGTTAAAATTGTTAAACTCTGAATGACATCAGTATCTTGCTTGTCAGGGTATACAAATATATTTTAATCCAAATTGTCCAATTTAAGAAAAAATATTTTTTTAATTCTGAGAAACAAGTTGATTACAATTCTAGACATGGGTTTAAACTCTTACCTAAAAGGAAAGCACTCTAACACTGCCATTTATTTTGTTCTACACATTGAAAGCAAGTAGTTTTTTGTAATTCAATGATAAATGCAATGATTTTTTTCTACTTTAATAGTGTTCAATAGTGATAAAATAATGACTATAATTAGTTTTTAATAGTAGCCCTAGTTTTCAAAATTCTTTTTTAGCAACAAGTTTTGAAAACTAGGGCTACTTTGTTTAAAGTACACATAGGAATGAAATTTAAACTTGTGTAACATACCACAATAATAAACTTAAAAAAATGAAACAAGAAACGAATTTGTTCATTTGAGCAGTAATCATGGTTTAAACCTGACTAAACATGGCTTAAAAGCAGTCATTGGTAAAATATAATTGAAAGAAGTAAGGAAGAAGCAAAATATAATTTATGATATTTCATAAATGAAGGAACCTTAAGTTATTACTATAATTTCAACCGAAAATTTCTAATTTTCTTTTTTTAGTTGAATTTTTTTAAAGTTAAATATCACCAGCCATGGCTAACCAATCATCACAGAGAAGAATTCTCAATATCCTATACAAGATTATACTCGTTATCTATACTGTTTGTTTAAAGCAATCAAAAAAACTTAGACTCAGACAAAATGTTAAGTTACAGAGATTTAGGTAAGAGTCTCTGGAGACTAAAATCTAAGATATTTCATTTTGTAATCTGAGAATAACTCTTTAGCACAATTCTATTTTGCAACCAATAACTAAAAAAATAAGTTGTAAGAATTAAAATAATAAATAGAATAAAAGTTATAAATATAGAAAAATCAAAGAACTAAGCTACCTAAAGTAGAACAAAGTACAATAATGAACAAATATAAATAGAAAGTTATAAAGTATTCAAAGAAATGTTGTCCCATCCCCACACATCCCCATCCCCACTGTAGCACTGCTTAAATATTTTTTATTTCGAGCTACAAGGTTGAGATAGAGGTGTAAGTCCTCAGCTGTAGTGGTTCCATAAATATTTTTTTTTCTGGGGAGGGGCGTGTGAATTTTGTTTAAAAAAATTAAAGCAACTTCATACAACTTGTAAAGCAAAAGTACATAAATGAACAGTCAAAAAATTCTAATTTAATTTCACAATAAACAGATTAACTGATCAAATAAACAATTTCCATTTAAAAAGTTTCAAAATTCAATAATTTTAAAATACTATTAAATTTTATTCAGACATGCTTTAATCTTTAAATATAATAAAATTATAAAAAATCTATCTTTCTTTGTAAAATAAAGATTTACATTAGGAATAAAAATCAATATTGTTAAAACATTGCTAATGATATAGGATAACTTTTCTGTTTTTAACAATTTTTTGGTTTTGAGTTTCACACTTGCTTTCCAAAGGAAAATATCTAATTTTTAATGTAACACTTTTTGTTAAACAACAAAACTATAGAGTTGTTGAATGAAGAGGAAGATTGTTAGCATAACTGCAAAATAAAATCAGTTTATTTCCTATCAGTTGCAAAATAAAATCAGTTGCATCATTGTTGTATCATTGTAGATATCAGGATCAGAAGCTGTGTCTCATTTTAAAATCCTTTGAAAACTGATAAAAAACTTCAAGCTGCTTGAGTGAAAAACTGTTCTGCTTATTTTATAAAAAAGGCCTTCATCTTGTTTGTGGTCAGAGTTTTTAAATGATTTTCAAACTGTTATTGTATGTTTGTGTAACATTTTTCATTTCATTATTTTATATAATTTTTCACTTTGACTTTTTTTAAATTTAGATGCTAATTTGATTATTGGCTTTGGATTAACTTGGTCCTAATCTAATCTACTTCTTCAGTCACAGAAGTATTACAGTTTCTTTCTTTTAAATCACAGAGTAAACAAAAGCATTGTAGTTTGTTGCTGTTGAATTTTAAAGCAAACAGCTATTTCCTTTTAAGTTAAAGAATGGAATAGAAAATGAATATCAACTTGAAAAAGTAGCTTGAAATTAATTAAGCTTAAATTGTCAATTCTGTGAGGTTAATTGGAAATTTGAGGATGGTTTAAATATTTTGTTAAACGCCAAAAGCTGACAAATTCTATTAAATGTTTTTAATCTTTTTACAGAACTAAATTATCTCAAATGTTGTAAAAGTTAAATAAGTTTTAGTGGCACCCCTTTTCTAAAACTTTTTAAAAAGAATAGGAAGCTTTATGTCCACCTTCAAACATCCGTGGCAGAGCATCCGTGACATTCGTGGTTATTGTGAACATCAAAAATCTTCAACTCTGAGATTAAAAGTCTCACAAAAAAAAAATTTCACAAAATGTCTCACAAAATAAAAGTTTTTCAATATAAGGGTAAGCAGTAGGCAAAACTAAATCTAATTAAAACTAAATTTTGAACTAATTATGTCTTAAAAGGCTACTTTGTAGTTTTAACTTTATAAGATATATATAACATATTTAACTGACATCACAAACTTAATAAAGTATCCAATATACATTATGTTATTTATTAACAATAGTTAAGTCAAAATTAGGTAAACCTGACAGATAATCATCACCCAGTAAAGTAATGGATATGCTTTGCTCCACATTTAAAAACCATACTAAACATCTTAGGTTAATTTCTGATGTTCGAAATGGACGAAGAAAGATTCTCTGAGAAACTGTAAATACCTAGAATAACAAAATAAAGACACTTGATTAGAAGTTTTATTGATATATATATTTACTAATATTGAGTATCTTCAAAATAAATAGATACTTTTTGTAAACATCATTTTCTTTATTCTGGATATGTTATAGAGATTTTTAACATTTATGAGAGAAAAAAGAAGTTTGAAATAGATCCTTGTAGAATAACACTGGTGATTTTTAAGAAACTCGTTAGTGAGTTGATTTAAATATTTTAAAAATAAAAAACAAAAAAGTAAAATTTTATATACTCTATTATAGCCTATGACTATTTGCCAATGTGCACCCAAAAAATGGATGCCCTGCAAATAGAAGTCAGTTTAAAACGTTAAAAAGCTAAAAAGGTAAAAAAAGTTAAAAAAAGTGGGTGAGGTAATAATAAAGTTAAATAGGTTAAGAAAAAGTGGGTGAGTTAATAATCTAATTTCAATAATTTTTGCCAAGTTGATTTGGCAGCCAGGGCCAGGTTTGTGACAAGGGGTGCATAAACATTGATGCATCCTAAAGCATATTTTTTTATTTAAAAATTTATGTTATATTTTATATACATATTCATGTATATTTATTTATAAACATCATCATTATCAACATGATTATCATAACCATTATTATCTTCATCGTCATCATCATCACCATCATCATCATCATCATCATCATCATCATCATCATCATCATCATCATCATCATCATCATCATCATCATCATCATCAAGCTATAGCCTTTTTTTGTACTGTTTCTCTAACAGAAACAGCACAAAAGATAATAATAGATCATTTTCTTCTGTGAGAAAGAAGATGGTCTAATCTCAAGCATCTTTTTCCTCATGGGTACACTTAAGGTCAAAAAAAATGGGAAAAGACCTAAATCTTATTCTTTTTTTTGATTTTGTAAGCAATCCATTTGCACATTCCAAAACTATCAAAGTTTAAATCAGTTGTTGGTAGTTTTTTGAGAAAACTCACCTGCAAGACTTGATTTAACTAAAGATTAGGCCCCTTCTGACCCATTTTTAGATCCTAACAAAAGGATCAAATAGAAACATATAACTTGTTTTGTAAAATATACAACTATATTTTTTTATGTTTAATTAAAGGGGTTAAGGCAACTTTACAGGAATACAGTGATTTAGCCTAAAGCTTTGAATTTGGGATAAAAATCTGAAATAAAAAGTATTTTTTCTAGAAAGGAAAATTTACTATAACATAAATATTACATTTATATAAAACTATAAATTACACACACACACACGCACACACATACACACACACACACACACTTATATATATAAATAAATATATATATATATATATATATATATATATATATATATATATATATATATATATATATATATATATATATATATATATATATATTTATATATATATATATATAAAAGACTTTAGCAACGTGTTTAAAACATTAAACCCTAACTACTGACATATAAAAAGATATATATGTATATATATACATATATATATATATATATATATATATATATATATATATATATATATATATATATATATATATATATATATATATATATATATATATATGTATAAAAGACTTTAGCAATGTGTTTAAAACATTGAACCCTAACTACTGACATATTAAAAGATATATATGTATATATATACATATATATATATATATATATATATATATATATATATATATATATATATATATATATATATATATATATATATATATATATATATATATATATATATATATATATATATATATATATATGTATAAAAGACTTTAGCAACGTGTTTAAAACATTGAACCCTAACTACTGACATATTAAAAGATATATATGTATATATATCAGGGTTGGAAAAAACCCAGGGTTTTTTAAAAAAACCCAACCCAAATGGGTTTTTTTGGGTTTTATTGGGTTTTTTTGGGTTTTATGGGTTTTTTGGGTTTTTTTAAAAATCGATCAAAATACCAAATTTTTATAATTGTATGAGTACAATAATTTTTTTTTTAATTTCATAAATTCACCTCCCTATTGCTCCAATCACCATTTCAGTCAAGGGAGCAACTAATTTTTTAAAAATAGTTTGTCTAAATAATATATTTTTGTTTTATATATATATATATATATATATATATATATATATATATATATATATATATATATATATATATATATATATGTATATATATATATACATATATATATATATATATATATATATATATATATATATATATATATATATATATATATATATATATATATATATATATATATATATATATATATATATATATATATATGTATATATACATATATATCTTTTAATATGTCAGTAGTTAGGGTTCTTTTAATATGTCAGTAGTTTATGTTTTAAACACGTTGCTAAAGTCTTTCAAAACTTTTATTCAATTAACCTTTTATATAATAACCTTTAAAACTAACGTGCTCATCCAGATTAGTATGCATTTCATTTTACTTTTATAAGACATTCTGGTAAGATAAATTGTAGACAGACTTTACATTTATACTCATCAGAAAAATTTGTTCTTTTCTTTAATTTAAATGAGCTCTGACTTCAAAGTAATTGATAAGGTAACTTTTAAATAACCCTGTTCTTTATTTACTTTATTTAGTAAAACTGTTGCAACTAACTCATCAACATTATTACATAAAACACAAAAAATTGTTACAATATACTAAACAATAACAAAGCAGCATTGAGTCATTTAATGATCTTTTATCTTAAATCATTAACTTTCAACATTATTCAAAATATAATAATATATTACTATTATATATTATTGCGACTCTATCTCTATTTGCAATATTTTGCTAATTGGGACTTTATTTGCTTATTGGGACTCTAATCACTTGTATAAATTTATAAGATAAAAACACTTTCAGACATCTAAATCCGCCAACTGGGCTGTTATTATATTTAGTATTTTAATGCAATGTACTTTAGACAATAATTATTAGCCAATTAGAAACCAATAATTATTGCTAATCGCCAATCACATTGTTGCAACTACAGAAAATAAACAACTAAACTGGCTGACAGAATACATTATTTTGATACTAAAACATCATTATTTTTAAAACTTCTTAGCAAATTTCATATGATACAACTTGTTGTACCCCATGGTCATAAGTGACCTTCAAAGTATCCATATCCTTAAATAAAGCTTATTCATATGATTTGTAACACACTTTCTTCAGGTTTTCTGACTTGTAAACCATTTAACCATTTTCTCTTGATAACTCTGCTGCTACCTCTCTACATGCTGATAACCAAACCATTTTATTCTTTTCTGACAAACAATGTTTGATACAATGTTTTTCTAATCTGCCTAAGATTTCTTTTGGCTTCCTTTCTTGTTTTGTTAGAGTCATACCACATATACCACCTGTTTTGTTAGAGTCATACACATATACCATCTGATCATTATCTTCTCTTTCTGTAATAAGACAACACTATATAAATACTAAAGTTTAAATACTTTTTTTAAGGTTACCCAGCATGTTAGTATTTAATAAACAAAATATGTATGCATAAAATTATAATATATAAAGTATTATAATAATTTTTCCTAGCCAGAGCCGGGACCAAAAAGTTTTAAAAATCAACATACAATACCACTAAAACTGCAAATGTCTTTTTTATGACTTTTTTATTTTATTGATTGTATATTATTATTTATTGAAAACCAAACCATATGTCCACCTTGGCCAAACTAGGATCCAACTTTAAATTACTAGTTAAATTAAAGCAACAAAATTAAAAATACAAAGAACTTTGTTCTGAGAACCCATATTATAAACTTTTCATAATTACAACTATTATGCTCTGAATTCCCTGGTAACAAAATTTAGCACAAAATTTTTTAATTTTTTTTTTGAAACTAAAAAATTCAACCACCATTTTCAAATACATATAACAAATTAAAGAAAACCTCAAAGTAACAACAAACTTAACTTGGTCAATAATTAAAAAAGTTCCCGATTACAATAACACTACAAAAATATGGTTACTTTGCCTCCACTATTCTGGGGTACCTTATTCTTAAGGTACCTCAGAATTCCTAAACAAAAAATCTGAAATAATATCAAAGTGTCATCACGAAAACAAGTTTTTGCTTGACAACCACAAACCCGAAGATTAGAAAACCAAAGGATTGAAGCATGCTTTGTAATAGTTTCTGCACATTTTTTTTGTATAATAAGAACATAATAAATAGATTATGTTATTTCTCTCGAAATAATATAATCTATTTTTACCTTATGATTTTCAAACAATATAATTAAATTACATTCAAAAATTATTTTTTATAACAGTATTGCTAAATTTAAAGATATTTAGACTTTAGAAATGATTTTTAATTAGGTTTCAAATTTAATTTAATTACAATATGGAACTTTATAATATGCAACTAACATAATTTAAATTTTAACAAAGTGTATATATAATAATAATAATAATAATAATTAGAGATTAAAGTGCCATTATTTAAAACAATCACAATAGTGATGAAGTAATTCAGAAGCACTAAACAAGTAAACTATGAGTCTGAAAAAGAGTTCATAAAAAGTTCATATTTTAGTCTTTTTTTGAATGTTTCTATAGAAGTTGAGTTTCGCGTGTTTAAAGATAAACCATTCCAAATTCGAGGTCCAGCCATACAAAAAGATTTTGAGCCTAAGGAGGTTATTTGTTGACGACGTGTAAGTTGGCAACTGTCTAATGATCTTGTATTTTGTTTTGAAGTTCGGACTTCTAGGAGTTCAAATAAATATGCAGGAGATTTTGATAATAAAATTTTATATCCGATCACTGATGTTTTATAGATTATTCTTTGATGGATTGGTAACCAATGAAGAAATTTCAGCAATATTTCTGATTTTAAATGAAAAGAAGAATGGAAAACAATACGAGATAAGTTACTTTGAATTCGTTGGAGTTTTTTAATATTTTTTTGATAAGTGCCAGATAAAATGCTGTTACAATAGTCAAGCTGAGAGTTAACAATGCCACAAGCAATTATGTTTGTAGCTTCTTTGGTCAGACATTGACGAATGTGGCGAAGTGCACGAATGTGGTAATTGCAGGATTTAATAATATTGTTTATGTGCTTGTCCATAGAGAGCTTTGAATCTAGGATGACTCCAAGGATTTTTACTGAATTTATTGTAGTTATTGTGGTTCCAGAAAACGCAATATTCAAATCATTTTTATATTTGCTGGTTTGTTTTCTAGATCCAAATAAAATAGCTTCTGTTTTATTTGGATTAAGCAGATGTCTATTTTCTAGAAACCATGTTGTTACTGCATTAGCACACTCAGTGATTTTACTGATGCTATCTTTGCCAGGGCTGAGGAAAGTATAAAGTTGGGTATCATCAGCATATTGATGATGATTAGTACCAAATTTAGCTATAATACGATATATATATATATATATATGGGCCTAATACACTACCCTGTGGTACTCATGTTGAACTTGCTATTAGTCTAGAATTTGATGATCCAATAGAAACAAAAGATTTTTGAGAGTGCAAGTATGATGTTAGCCATTTTAATGCAATATCTGTGACACCAAAATTATTCTTAATACGGGTAATCAGCAGGCTGTGATCAATTGTATCAAATACTGAAGATATGTCCAGAGATAGGAGAATAGTGGTCAAACCATCATCAATGTTTAGCAGGATGTCATTACATATCTTTAAAAGTGCTGTTTCGGTTGAGTGATAAGATCTAAAACCAGATTGTAGAGGATTGAAGTTGACAGATGATGTTACATGTGGATGAAGACGAGATAAAGCAAGCTTTTCAAGAATTTTCGAAATTGTATTGAGATTTGATATGGGGCGTAGATTTGTTAGGTCAAATTCTGCTAGTCCTGATATTTTGGGAATTGGCGTTATTTGAGCAAATTTATATGAGGTTGGGAAAATTCTGGATTTGAATGAGAGGTCAGCAAGGTGAGCTATAATTGGACTAAATATTTCTGAACAAGATTTAAGGATGTTTGTTGGAATAATATCAAGTGGCGATGTCTTAGATTTGAGAGTTTTGGTTATTTTCGACACATCTTTAGGTGTGACTGTACCAAATGTTGTTAAAATATCTACAGGGGGAGATAACTCTGAGATAAATTTAGATATTGGAGTTTTTGCAAGCCTTTCCTGGATAGTGTTCTTTATAATTTTGAGTTTGCGTATGAAATATTGACTTATTATATAGCATTTTGCTTCTGGTATTGTGTTATTAGTTTTAGAACTATTTGAATGTAGTAATTTCTTGGCAATGTTCCATGTTTCTTTTTGATCACCATATGCTAAATTTAGTTTCGCCCTATAATGACTACATCTGGATTCGTGAATTGCTGCTGCAGCCTCACGGCATGCAGTTCGATATAATTTTTTATCTGATAAACTACCAGTTTTTCTATAACAACGTTCCAGTTTACGACACCTGATTTTTTTATTCTTGGCATCTGAAGATAACCATTGATCATCGTGTCTACCAATTCGCATTGAATATTTTCAAATGGGTGCTAAATGATCAAGAACAGTTGTTATATTTGATCTTATTTGTTCAGCATAATCATCCACATTGTTTTCAGGTGATAAGCAACATGGCATCACTTGCAATTCTTTAATAAAGCATGACAAGTTTAGTTTTCTAAAGTTTCGTTTTGAAAACCAAACAGTTTTAGTATTTGAATGTTGATGATAAAGTTCTACCTAAATCATATAGTGATCTGAAATACCCTCGTCAGTTACTTGGATACTCTTGAGTGAAATATCATCATGTCGATTTATTACAAGATCAAGCAAGTTGTCTATACCAGTAGTAGATGATATGCGAGTTGGAGATTTATATATTTATATATATATATATATATATAATATATATATATATATATATATATATATATATATATATATATATATATATATATATATATATATATATATATATATATATAATGATACACATATATGTTTTATAACACAAACATACATGTTTTATAACACTAACTTATACATGTTGTAACACTAAATTACATAAATGTTTAAAAAGTCAAATTTAAATGGAAAAAAACTTTTTTTAATATATGATTTAATAATTATATTTTTGTTATCATTTACAGTTTAATATGCTTAAATCATTTATATATCTTTATTAATTACTTACAGTATTATCAAACAAACTGTTGTCTTTGTACATAACAACTTTATTGCTGACATAATACTGGATACAAAACTTTAATAAACTATCAATTTTGTCAAACTTCATTCCAGCAATAAATGATGATTTATTCATTTGAATACTTAAAAAATCATCAGCCATAAACTGGTACAGTCCAAGCACTGGTTTTTCTATAACAAAAATTAAAAAAAGTAAAAAATAATAAATTTTTATAAAAATATTGAATAACCAAATTTTTTAACATACTTTGTACAATCAATTTATGCAATCTATATAATGTCAATTTGTACAAGTTAAGTTTGTTTATTGCAAATGCTAATTCTATTACTAAATATTCTTTTTTATAATATATGAGCTTTAAAGGAATTTCATAGGGGCTGATTATAAATGGAAATATTATAAATAATAATATAAATAAACTAATTATTTTTTTTTTAGTTAGCTACAATTGTATACAATAGTGTTCGATTTTTTAGAAACACTAGTTTGGTTTATTAAAATTTAAATCAATGAATATATTTAATGCATATAAACAAGTCTTATTGAATAATTTTTGGAAACAATGTTTTTTTATATTGATTTAAGTGATATTAAATGTTTTTCCTTAGGAATTGCCATTAAAGTTGAGTAATTAGTAATCATAAATGATAAATGACGTAATTATGAAATCATGTAACAATATTGCATGTCAGCGTTAATAAGATGTAGTTGAAGGAAATGATCAAAACTTGAGTAATTTCGTTGTTATGTAATAAAAAAATATATATATATATAAATATATATATATATATATATATATATATATATATATATATATATATATATATATATATATATATATATATATATAATTATTAATTACAATAATAAGCTTCAAAATTCATCACATTTGGGCATTTCCAGAAAATCACGCACGGAAACTCATATATGTTTTTACTTTTATTTTCATAAAAATAAAACTAACAATCTCCAATTTACTATCATTTAATTCTAAAAACTTCTATTTCAGTTATTAGATAAATAAACTTGGAAAATAAAAGTTTCACTAGTATACTTTTTTTTTTAATTATATTTTAAACATTAGTAAAGATTTCCAGAAAGTTACAGGATTGCACTATAAATCATAGAATCACAGCAATCGTTTAAATGCAGTTTATGAATAATCATGCACGGAAGTCACACACGGATGTTGCGAATTTATCAATTTCATGTAGTTATTTTTATGAAAATAAATTGCTTGTGAGTATTTTAAGTGAAATATTATAATTCTACGACTCTTTAATTTAATATATTTTCAATGAGAAATAGTATTCATCAATTATTTTTAGCTAGAGTATGGCGTTTTGAAATTATTGCATATTTTTCAAAATGTTGCGATACTATAACTCAAAAAAATAAAATTGTAAAAATGTGTATATTTAATTTATTCAGATAGCCTAAAATATGATAAAAATATTTTTGTTATAATTGTTCTTTAAGAAAACCAAAATGGAATGCATATTTCATCAAGTCCCAGCTTTTAATTGCTATAACAAAGAAAAATAAAAAAATCACGCACAGAAATGGAAATGCCCATTTACATTTTTAAAAATTTTATTAGTAAGTGTATTTGTTATTTTTGACATTATTTGAGAGTTAATATCATAAATTTTAGATTAATGAATTTATAATTCATATAAAACGATTTTAATAGAGAAATCAAAGGATTTATCGGAAATTAAGAAAGCTAAAGTTAGATCCTTACTTAAAAATACCAAATTCAGTTATAGAACAATAGCAGCGGAAGTCAGTGTTGCAATGGTTTTCTGTTTGAAATTATCAAGGGCTGCTACTTTTATAACATCCTTCAGGCGAAATTGTGATAAAAAAAAGAAGACATCTCGACAGGATGAATTTTATATTTTGCGCAAAGTTATGAAGAATCGTTCCACAACATCCACGCAATTAAAATAAGGTTTGAAAGAGAGAGGAGTCTCCATTGCATCCTCAACAATACGTAAATGCCTTTTGGAAAAAGGCTTTAGAAGTTACTTACTAAGTTAAGTTGCGAAAAAAAAAACAATTTTGTCAATTCAAATGAAAAAGGCAAAATTAGTGTGGGCTATAGAACATCACGATTTCCATTGATGTTTCGCAACTGAATATCAATGGAAACAGCTATGACAATTAAATATCGAAAAAAAATATTTTAATATATTTGATAATAATACTTGAAATGGCCACTTAAACTTATTTATTTTTAGGTAGCAATTAGCAACGAGAGTACGTTTGAAACAGTTAATATAAGAAAGAGATATAGTACGCAGGCATTCTGGAGAGTCACCTCTTCAAGATTCAATGCTTTCAACCTCGGTCAAACATCCACAAAAGGTCATGATATGGGGCATCATGTCCATCCATGGTCCCGGGAAGCTCCATGTTGTTGAAGGCATGACGAATGCTGAACAATATTCAACTGTTTTATCATCCAAAGCAATCCCGTAAATGAGGGAATGGTACGGAGACCTTACAGAGTGTATATTTATGCACGACAAAACTCCATGCCATACAGCGAAAAGAATTACCTAGCAATTTCTTTCAAAAGGGTTAAAGAGACTATTTCTCGGCCTTTCATGGCCGGAAAATAATCTTGAAATGAACCTTATCGAAAATATTTGGAGTATTTTAAAAGCTAAAGTTAATAGACTACCTCATATTAATAAAGAATTACTAATTTCATCGATTTCCAAGTCTTGGGAGGAAGGTAATGACATTGAGATGTATTGCTCGTCCATTTTGAAATCTATGAAAAATGATATAAACGAGGTCATTAAGGCTAAGGGTGGACACACCAAATACTAATTATAGGTATAATTTTTAAGCGTTTTGTTCTCTATTATTTGGTTTTTAAAGTTTATCTTTTTGTTTTATTTTTGTTATTCAGTTGTATTTTTAATCAAAAGTGACGAGTGTTTCTAATAAATTGAACACTACTGTATATGTAATAAAATTATTTATTAAATATAATTATTGTAATAATATATAAATAATAAAAATTATTTATTAAATATAATTATATTGATAATATATAAATTTAACTTAATTAAACTTCAGAATTATATGGCAACAAGTATTACCAAAACTAAAAAGACTAAATTACCGCAAAAAATAAATTGTATTTATATATTAATAGTCTATATAATATATATAAGTACTATCAGTGCCATGCTGTGCATAAATGGTGTCCCTGTTTGTACTTTTGATGTGCATTGCCAAGGCTACATTTAGAGCTCTTTGTTATGGTTAGGGTTTATTAATAGTAATGAGGCAATTGCTTAGACTACAAAATAGTGTACTGAGTGCTATCTGTGTTTTAAGTTAAGTTCTTTTAAAAATTTAAAAAGTATTAAAGTACCAATAACAATAAAACACAAAAACCAAGGAAAAATCTGTTATTCCACCTCTCTTGTATGGTTCAGACTTTGTCACCTCAAATCACATATGTCACATATTTCAGCCATAAAAGAAACGGTAAGTTACTATTAATTATTAATTACTATTTTCTATTCGCTTTTTGTTATTTCTACACATTATAATTGTTTATTTACACACGCGCATACGTACATGTGTACAAGTTTGTTTCTTCTAATGTAAGGGTACCTTATATTTATATCTGTTTACATATCTATTTATGGTCACACCACGCGCATTCCTCACCACCCTCACGAGATCTCTAAGAATGTTGGAGCTGTTTTCAAAAACTGGGATAGGGATTGGTTTTTTGGCTTTTGTAGTGTAGTCCTATTATATTGCAATATTGACTAGCATGACGTAGAGTGCAGGCGGTGAGATCTGTTGCAAGGACACGCCCCTGACGAGTGGCGTTAGTGCAGGTCTCAGGCTCACCGAAACGTCATTGGTGATCGCAGTGCATTCCTGAGGAGGGGGATCACCATTTATCCACTACTTAATTCTAATTGGTTATTATGGCACCAACATTTTTTTACCTCTTAAACCCATGTATTTTTGCGCTTAATGAATTTTTTATTATGAATTTGTTACATTTACGACATTTATATATTTTTTATGTTACACAGGTGATTATCAGTTATCAATTTTTTTATCTAGAGTTTAGAACATATATAGTACCACATTTATTAGACATTTGTATGGTGCGATTATTTTAGTTATGAATACCATTATAAACCAGCGGATTTTTATTGACTTGTTTACTCATAGATCATTATTTCATCATTTGTTAAAAGACGACTAGAGTGTGATTTTTTATTCCCCTTTTCCTGAGTTGCTTACTTTTACTCTTCCAACTAAATAGTCTTTGCATTAATTTATGTTTTTTTACCTAAATGACATCATCTTCAATCTGTTTTTATTTTCACATCTCCCAGGTCTACGTAACTGGACGACTCCATTGGTCACTTTTTGCGATCATTGTGTCGCATAAGCAAAAAAAAAAAAAAAAAAAAAAAAAAAAAACCAAGGAAAAATCTGTTATTCCACCTCTCTTGTATGGTTCAGACTTTGTCACCTCAACTAAAGACAAGGCTAAGTTGTTTGCTGAAAATTTGCAATCTCTTGATTTCACAAGTCACATTCTACCTAATATAGCCAACATAAAGGTTAATCCATTGCCTGACTTTTATTAGAGGGGGTCCATATTCATCTTTTTTTAAACTTAGATAGATAGATTAAAATATTATCATTAAATTTAAGAAAAGTAAAAAATAGAAATATTTTTCTGTTTAATTTATCAATAATATACATTATAATTTATAAGTAACAAAAAAATGAAGCATTATATATAAAAATAATTCATACAGTTTGCTATTTTTTATATTGAAAATGGAAAATAACTATAAAAGTCATCATATATGATAAAGGATTGCTGCTGCAACTTTCCATGTAGAACATCTAGGTTATGAGTGCGTTCTTTGGTAGACATAAGATGGAGGTTTGTATTTTTATATCAACAATGTATTTAAACAGAATAGATCTTCACAACACTGACCTACTTGTATCCCTAAAATAAAGAACCTCGTTTTTCAATCTTTTTTTTTCATTTTAACATATCTTTATCTACTTTAATAAAGTCTAGTTCACAGTCAAATGTAACTTTAATCCTTGAAACTTTAATCAAACCAAAATAGAACTCATCTTGTACATCTGATGTAAAGTTATCTGCTTTTCCGTTGTTATCCATTTGTTTTTATAGCTGGTTTTAACTATATTCCATAGTTTCAACTTTTTGAACAAATAATCGGACAATAATTTTCCAAAACAATTTTAAACTACGCGAAATTTCATTTTTTTTTATATGGTTTAAATAATTAAGTATTCATCTACTGTTGAAATTAAATGGATTTTTTCCAAAGCTTTCCAACTGCAACAACTTAATTAGAAAGTTAATACTCATCATATTCCATCATCAACCAAACACATAATACTTTTCTCTTTTTTGAAGTACTGAGGCTAACTTTTGCCAAAACACTCTAGCAAGAATGATACAACCATTCAACCTCTTTGAGATATACTTAGTAACTGCTTGTAGAATTTTTTTTAACTAGCTATTCCTGACGTTTTAGAGTAAAGCAGAAAATTTCAAAATTTGATCACCCAGTTTGTTTTTTATAAAGCCTTTTAGGTAGCAATATTCCTTTAGACTAACTGTTTATCTTTAGAGTTGTTAAACCTTTAGAATATAACTGAACTTCTAATGACTGGCACTTTAAAAGAAGACTTTTTTTCTTGACTTCATTAAAGAAAAGTGAAATCCTATAAAACACCATAACCTTCGCCTAGGTTCTTCATGTAAATTCCAATTCAAAACTTTTTTATAACGGATTTTATGATGTCTTTTTCAAGGGGGGTATAGGGAAAAAGGACAACCAGTGAAAAAGGTGGGGAGGTTAAAAATTGGCTAAAAAATTGTGACATTTTTTTCATGGACGGCCCATAAGGAGCTTGCTTGTCTTTATGCAAAGTTATTGTTATTAGTTACAGTTTATTGATGCCCCATGAACATTGCTGCCCGGGACAGACAATCCTTTCTTCTTCTCATTATGCCAGATTAAATTATGCCTTATGACTTTTTTCTTTAATACAAATATTTTTTGGGATTATATATACCCTCATTGAAATCTTGAATAGCCTTCTTGATAGCTTGAAAAATGATTAAAAATAAATTAAAAAAAAAAAGGAAATTCAG